AAATGAGGAGAAATGGGGTAAAGAGGGAGTACAATGATGAGGTGCAATTTACAGAGTGGTCAGGGAAAGCTTCTTGGAAGAGATGGCATTTGAGCAGACCTGCAGGACATGAGCACTGGAAAATTATGGTATCTGAGGAAAGCGTTCCAGGAGTGGGAACACCAACGGCAGAAGGCTATTGTGACTGGAGAGGAGTGGGCAGGGTCAAGAGGAAGAGACGGATCTTGAGGACCATGTTGCCAAAGCAGGGACAGTGGAGGGTTTTGACAGGTGAAGGGTGCGATCCATGCTTTTAGAAAAACATCGAAGGTGTCTGGGTAGGAGGTGATGCCAGTGCGGGGCGGAAGTGGCAGGAGGTCTGTGTGGGCAGCAATATAAATGGGAGTGATCATCCCATGAGGGGAGGAGGACACTAAGGTCCCAGCTTAGGAAGACCATGAGGGAGGCAGCAAGAGCCACACCCTCACCCATGCCACCACTGCAGTGTGTGAAGGGCCCTTCTCCTCTCCAGTCCCCCACTTATGTCCTCTTGTCCTGAGCTCTCTGCAACCACCACTCTTCATGCTTCTCTCACTCCTCAAACATGCTGTGCTCTCTTGACCTGGGCTTGGCTCCTGTGTTCCCTTAGCAGCCCCATCTTGTAGAGAACATTCACTCAGTTCTCAGTTCCCAACTCCTAGGCCTCATCCTCCAGGAAGCCTTCCTGACCCCAACTAGGTGACATTTCCCCTTCCCAGGAATCCTTCTTGTGAGTGTGTGTTTAGTGTCTGTTCCACACTGGGCCTGAGGTCCTTAGGGTGACTACATATGCTTGACCCATTTCCTGCAGAATTCTATCAGTGCCAAAAAGGAAGAACAAATTTGACATTTCTCAAGCTGATAGAAAGTGCCAGGTGCTCCAAAACATTTTAATTGTTTATCTCTATTCCAGATGAGGCCCTGGAGGCTCATGGAGGATACAGAGCTGGAGAATCCAGCCCCAAACCAGGGCCTGTTCCCCGTGGCTCGAGTGGCTGTGTCAGAGGCTGGCGCAGCCATTGTGCAACCATCATGAAGGCTGGAAATTACTCCTAGTTCCTTCCAGGGGACCTGAGATGCACTTTTAGCTGCAATTGAGGGAGAGGGGATGCCTGGAGGCATTTAAAAATGAGTCATTACCTTCCAATCGAAAGTAGTAATAGCTGACACTTAAGTATTACTCACCACGTGCCAGACACTGTTCCAAGCACTTGGCATGCCCTAATTTATTTAATCCTCACAACAACCCTGTGAAGTAGGCACTATCATTATCTCCATTTTACAGATGAGAAAGCTGGAGTCTGGAGAGGTTAAATCATCTCCCACGGTCTCGAAGCTTGTGAATGGCAGAACAGCATTGGAACCCAAGAAGTCTACACACTTTGTCCATAACCTTGGCTTGCTTTTGTTCCTTGATTGTGTGGGAAGGGTCAGATGTCAGAACTCAACCCATCTAATGGCCTGTTTCCTTCCTGACTCCTCAGACCCCAGTCCTGTGGCGTCTGGGAATGTTTGGTTGAATACACAGACGAGTGAGCTGGGAGGGACAGGCCAGAATACTCGGTTGGGTGTTGTGATTCTTCTCCTTGTCTACCACACCTACTCCTACAGTGACCTCAACTAGGCCCCTGTCCTGGGCTCAGGGATGGTCCATCAGATCAAGCAGGTGCAAGAGGATATAGAAGGCACCCTGGGGAGCTCATGGACCAAAGCCTGCTTTTTAAAAGTGTCACCTGTCCTGAGATCAGGATCAGGAACGGAGTGGCCTCCTTGGATCTTGGGTGGCCGACTATTCCCCCCACCACTGCAGGTCTGCAAACACTACCTGTGAAGAACGCACTGACCCTTCCATGGGGCCTTCCCAGTGCCAACACCAAAGCTTCAGGTGCCAGTGCAGGGACCCCAGGAGTCCTTCCTCAGAGGGGACTGGCCTGTCACACCCCACTGTGGTCTCTTCCCCAACATCCCCCCAACCTCTAAAGGCAATGCCAGATCTTCTGGTATCTGAATCTCACTTCCATCAGCACTGCCTCCTAGGCCTTGCAGCCTTGGATTTCCTCTACTGGTCTCCTTCCATGGCACCTCTTTCCCAGTCCCTGGCCTTCCCACCAGGTCTCCATGCACGTGACTCTAGAAGCCCACCCTAAAAGTATCCCCTAAAGCCCACTGCTGTGGAATTGATTCTGACTCACACTGACTATAGGATACAGGAGAACTGCCCATAGGTTTTTGAGGCTGCACATTTTTACGAAAGCTGACCACCGCGTCTTTCACCACAGACTGGCTGGTGGGTTTTCAGTCAAACACTTAAATTTAAAAATCCCTTGGGCAGCACACACACACACTTTTCACCCACCCATCCACCCACCCCTTGGCATCTCCAATAAATCTGCTCTTTCCCTGGAATGACAACACCCAGTGACCAAAGGCAGAAACCCAGGGCCACTTTCTCTCCCTCCAGTCCCCTCCACATCCATCAGTCACCAAGGTGGTCTTTACTTTCACTTTCTGCATCTTTCTTCTAGCCCTGACCCAGGCCCTTGTGCCTAATCCCACCTGGATGTAGGTGGGCTTCTTCACCCATTTCCTGGTCTCTCCATGCTTCTAGGGTCACAAAGTGTCTGCACGCTTCAGAATCAGGTCTAAACATCTCAGTTCATCCTCTTTGACTTTGCTCCATCTGACTGGAGCACATTCCCACTCTCCCTAGACCTGTCTTCTGCGGTCCTTCTAATTCTTCAAGGTCCAACTTAAAAAAAAAAAAAATCTGAGTCAGTATTTCTCCTTGCTTGTATGCTCTCCCCGCGCCCTCCCCCACCCCCCAAAAAAAAAGAATCACTCCATGAATCCCCAAAGCTCTCACTTTAACATTCTAGTTAAGACTGTGGACTTTTTCACATCACCCCAAGTGTTCTACTCAACTGCTCTGAACCTGAAGGTTTGAAGGAGGACATGAAGGTTTGAAGGAGGGTACAGGGCTTGAGCTGTGAGTAGCAGTTGTTCTCATCCTTTTCCTATCGCCCTCATTCCTGGATGATGGTGCAAGCTAAGGGTGGAGCCAGAGGCTCTCCATTACTCCCTCCAGTGCCTGCCATAGGGTCTGACAAACACTAGAGGCTCAGCAAGAGGCTGGGTTTTGGAGAGGAAGCCTAGTGCTGTCCCTTTCCAGAAGCAGGACTTTGGACATGCAGTTTACTTCTCTCTGAATCAGTTTTCCTATTTGTTAATTGGGAATCCCTGGGTAGTGCAAATGTTTCATGCACTCAGCTTGGCTGCTAACTGAAAGGTAGGAAATTTGAATCCACCCAGAGGTACCTGGGAAAAAAAGCCTAAAAATTATTCCCAAAAACTCAGCCATTGAAAACCCTGTGGAGCACAGTTCAACTCATGCATGTGGGGTCGTCATGAATTGGCATCAATTTGGCAACAGGCGACTTGTTAACTGTAGATGATGCTGATTTTCTGTTCACTGCACATAATGCCGAGATGCAGCATCCCCTGGAGGGCTTGCTCCAAATGCACCTGGGGGTCTCAAGCCCTGGAAGGAGGCAGTGCACAGTTCTTTCCCACCCAGGGTAAACGCCTCCCTGCAGAGTTCCCTGCCTTCCATCCCTCCTTGTGCTCCCTCCCACCCTGTTCCAAGCAGCGTCTCCAGGGCCAAATTCCTGGGCCAGAGGTGAGCTGGGATAAGCCATCTGTGGAACCACAGTGACCTCGTGTGGCTAACAGGTGCAGGGCAACCACAGGCTGGGTCTTGACTCACTCATTGCAGAATGGCTCTTCTTCCTCATACAAGACCACACTTCAGATCCTGGCAATTGTGAGACCTCAGATGGTGATCCCAGTCACAGTTCTCCTCCTGCCACACCCTCATAAGCCAGTCTCCCATCCCCGCTGACTATGTGTTTGTGGCCATTGCATAGGAGCTCTGTTGGCACAGTAGTTAAAGCACTAGGTCTGTGACCAAAAGGTTGGCAGTTTGAACCCACCAACTGCTTCGTGGAAGAAAGTGAGCAAGTCTGCTTCCATAAAGATTTGTTGTTGTTAAGTGCTGTCGAGTCAGTTCCGTCCCATAGCAATCCTGAGCAGGGTTTCCGAGGCTGTAAATCTTTATAGGAGCAGAAAGCCTCATCTTTCTCCCGTGGAGCAGCTGGTAGTTTTGAACTGCTGACCTTGTGGTTCACAGCCTGATTCGTAGCTAGTACGCTACAGCCTTGGAAATTCTACCGGCTGGTTCTACTCTGTCCTATAAGGTGGCTTTATGAGTCGGAATTCACCCAATGGGAAATGGTTGTTTGTTTGTTTGGGTTTTCACAGATGTTATTTAACTTCATCCTCATTACCCTGGAGGAAAACATTACAACCCCAATGCTAAAAATGTGGCACATAAGGCTCAGAAGGATTAAGTGGTGTGCCTAAATTCACCAAGGCCAGAAACAACAGAGGCAGGACTAGAACTCAGGACTCTAGATCTTTCCAGATCACAGCACTGTCCACAACATAATAAGAATGTCAATTATGTAAATACAGGATTCAATAAAGAATGGAATTGTCTAGGTAGAAGCAAACTAGCATCTGAGTTGTAGGGAAAGGAAGCTTGCTTTGAGCTGACTTGGCAAAATTAGTAAAAATTTCCAAGACAAAACAAAACAGGGAGGGCAGAAGCAGCATAAGCAAGCAGAGGCAAGGAGATGGGTAGAATGGCATGTGTTTGGGGACAGCAAGGAGCCCACTTTGGCTGATGTGTGGGCTGGAAGAAGGGAGCAGTGGGAGACCAGCTGAACAGGCCATGGGTGAAGAGACTGAACTTGGAAATGAAGGTTTGGGCGATGATGGAGATGCACAGACTACAACGCTGTGTGTTAGGAGACAGCATACAGAGACTTGCTTCCTCCCAGGGGTGAAGATTCCAGGTATTTCTTCCTCGGTTGTACTTGGCTCATGGAGTGGAACTAATGGTCTTTCTGCTGCCCTTCCCCCAGAACTACTATCCAGGCCCTGGTAATTATGGAGAGAAGGGCAATCCGTTCACAAAGCTGGAGAAGAATGCTTGGAACCGATCCCATTCCGAGGGCCTCATGTGCAGGATGTCCAACAAGCCGCCCCCCCTGGCTCACCAGGTATCCCCCTCACCTGGACAGGCCTTGCGGAGGAGTCTCCCAAGGCAGATGGGGAAACCGGGACCAGGAGAGGGCAATGAACTTGCCTCGGCAGCTCTCCTGCAGGGATAGTCATCTTGTTCTGCTCTAGGGAAGTGGTCTGGGACCAGGGACCTACTTCTTCAAAAGTGGCATGGACACATACCTGGCACAAAGAGTCGGTACCCGCGGCCCTTATGACATTTTCTCTGGTGACCGCACCAAGCCCCAGCCTTATGGACATTACTCCATGCAGGTGTGTACCTGGTAAGGGTTGGTGGGTGGTATAGGTGGAGTGTGTGCCAGTCCCTAGCGGTACCACAGCCTTATTATTCCATGATGGGAACAGTTGTTATTTACCGATTCTTCTCCTCTGAGGAAACCGAGGCAGTCCGCACAGTTGGTAGGAGCAGAGCTAGAACTTGAGCCCTAGTAAGTCGATTTGAATGAGCCCTAGTGACATTGTACTGCTAATGGAAAGGTAGGCAGTTCGAGTCCATCATCTGCCCATGAGGAGAAAGATGAGGCAATTTGCTCTCCTAAAGATGTACAGTCTCAGAATCTCCAGGGAGCAGCCCTACTCTGTCCTACATGGCCGCTGTGAGTCAGGACTGACTGGGTGGCAGTGGATCGTCTGGTTGGTGCGTTTGCCTGACTTCCTAGCCAGACCTCTCTCCTCTGCACTGCATGTGTTGCGTAGGAGGGTAGATGCCCCACAGTGACAGAGCTAGGCAGGGACCGGCTGCAAGGCTGATGTGGTTCTCAGGGGAGCAGCTCTAGCTGTCCTGCTGTTTTGCCAATACTGCCCAGGCATCATGAACCCTCTAAGCTCACAGGACTAGTGACAGTGTTCTATTAACAAAGCAGAGAACTAGAGGCTCAGGAGGGGAGGGTTTTAGTCTAACACTGCCCTCCCCTATCAAGTTCTGCCTCATGGTCTCATAGCACACTGTGTTTTGCCTTCTCCATGCTCATAGCACTGAGAATTAATTACTTGGGCTTTCCTTTGGTGCCCACTGTACATTCACCTGGAGCCCTAGGTGGTGGCAACGGTTAAGCACTTGATGACTAACTTAAAAGTGCGTTCTGGTTTGAATGCACCCAGAGGTGCCTTGGAAGAAAGACCTGCCTGGTGATCTGCTTTTAAAAGGTCCCTTTGAAAACCTTTGGAGTGGAGTTGTCCTCTGCACACATGAGGTCACTGTGAGTCGGGACCCACTTGAGGACAAGTGGTTATGTGTTCAGTCACCATAGTCTAGGCAGTGGGGAAGCAGCCCTGTGGAACTTGCATTCTGGTGGGAAAAAACACATAAAGAATGAACATATTAAAAAAGAAACCGATGGAAGACCTACAGGTGATGAGTGCTATGGGAACAGAGTGGTGGTTGTTAAGTGCTGTGGGGTTGGTTCAGACCCATAGGTTTCTGAGAAGCAGCTGGTGGGTTTGAACTGCCAACCTTTTGGTTCAAACCGACTTTACAGTCCAGCACATTAACCTACAGCACCACACCAGGACTCCATGGTAAAGAGGTGGTGATTGTTAAACATTAAAATACTTTTTAACTAGGTGGTGAATACTGTACTGAGCACTCAATCACAGTACTGAGACTGCTGACCAGGTAGGCCCCTGCACGGGTACCTCCCAGACATCCCATGACCAGCTACTAAGGGGTCCTGTCCAGCACAGCAGGGCCTCAGGGACCCTTCTCAGGTGCTGCAGCCAATGCCTGTTCTGACTGGCCAGTGCCTGACCCAAATGCCCACTACCCTTGAGTCCATCCCAACTCATAGTGACCTATAGGACAGAGTAGATCTGCTCCTCAGGGTTTCTGAGACTAAATCTTTACCAGAAGCCAGCCTCATCTTTCAGAGCAGCAGATGGGTTTGAACTGCTGACCTTTCTGTTAGCAGCTCAATGCTTAACCCACTGAACCACCAGGGCTCCTTCTGACACAATGTTGTTGGTGTTGTTGCTGTTAAGTTTCATCGAGTCGGTTGTGATTCATAGCGACTTTGTAAAGGGTTTCCAAGGAGCAACTGGTGGGTTTGAACTTTGTGGTTAGCAGTCCAGTAGCTTATCCTACAGCACCACACCTGGACTCTGATACATGGCAGTTCATTGAATGAAAAAGCATTAATGGACAAATGCAAGCTGGGTTATAGAGTGTGAGTCTGTAGTTGGGGGTTGCAAGAGACTGTGTGCCAGACTAACCCCAGCTGTGCTCACCCAGGAGATAGTCTGTGTTCACCTGCCCAGCTCAATGGGCCTTGAGACTGTCCCCACCCCACAGCCTGGCCTCAGGTGCCAGCATGGCCTGGGTGGTCACTACTCCTTTTATACTTGCTGTTCTTTGGCTGTGGATACTCTTGATTTTCCTGGCAAGATAGAGCATTTGCTCTCTGTTTCTCAGAAAAAAAAGCCCAGGGAACTGACAAGCTTCAAGAGCTTCGTGGAAGAACTGAACTCACACCACAATAAGAAACGTGGGATGTTCTCAAAACTTGCCCGTAACCCGAAAATTCCTACCGAGAGGATTTACTGGGCCACCCCTAGCCAGTGTCCCCGGACATTGGTGAGTGTTCCCCAAGGCCGACTTGCCTTCCTCTCTCCTGCATGTGTGTGTATGTATGTATGTGTGGTGGTGAGGGTGTTATTTAAGGGGGAAAGCTCAGTCTTCAGAATCAGATCTGTGTGGTTTCCAGTGCTATTCCTCTTGGTTTATGTGCAAGTTCCTCATGAGCACAATTAAGTGTTCTGAAATTCTCAATCTTCTCAATGTTGTCCATAGTTGGCTATGATCCACATGGTCAGATACCTTTGCATACTCAATTAAAAACATAAGTAAACATCTTTCTGGTATTCTCTGCTTTGGGGGGAAGGATTAGAGAGATGGCAAGACTACCTTCAGAAATGTATAGACCTAGATGGAGGATAGGTCAAGAAACCATAACTTCACCCTTTGATATTTTTGCTTAATAAAGATTTCTGTGATGCAGTAGCAATACTTTTTGACTTACTTCGTATTTCCCCCAAAATCAGTCATTGAAAGCCTTATGGAGCTAAGGTCTACTCTGATAAATATAGGGTTGCCATGAGATGAATGAACTCAATGGCAACTAAGTTGATGTACTTAGAGCCTACATCATAGTGCATGGTAACCAGGAAGTGCTCAGTCTGTGCTGATATCTAAACATCTAAACTCTGTACTTCTACCCACTATTCCCTACCCCTCTCTCCACTGCTTCCCCATCCCAGCCTACTTTCCATCCCCCACTTCCCAAAGCTCAGAAGTCAATGTAAGGGAGAAAACTGGGATAGGGCTGAGTATGAATAATGGACTGTACCCTGGCAGAGGGACGGACCACCTGCATGGTTCAAGGGACTGTGGACTTAACCTGAGATGGTAAGGGAATCCTTCCTGGGAAGCAGGTGATAGCATCCTGTGGTCTGAGTAGGCTCTGGACTTTAGCAGAGTCTGCATCCAGGGGAAGGAACAGAAAGGAATTGCTAAGGGCTCTGTAATAAATTGGGACATGGAAAGGGTACCAACACTTCTTGAATAACTGTTCAGGGTGAAGCACCTTCCAACTTTTCTGAGGGGAGGATTATCATTATCTTTCACAAAAGAAAACAGAGGGCCCAGAAGAGGGAAGGAGTTTCCCCAGGCTTCCTAGCAGAGGAAGAGGAGTTGAAATTGGAACTATTACATCCAGCTCCGAAGCCTGTGTGTCCTCTTCTCCCCAGGGTGGGGTTTGGAGCATCCTTCTGGGTCCCTGCCATACCATGATGACTCTAGGGAACCTGGAAAGAGATGCTCTGCTGATGGATGGAAGTTAGAATGGGTGGCATGGGTCATGAAGGCATCACAAGGCCCCTTCACCTTGGAAGGATGGACCACTGGTGAGCTGGGAGCCGACTGGGCATCTACCACCTTCTTGGTTCAAGGCCTAGGGCTGCCAGGTGGGTGAGGTCTGCTACTACCTTCCCTGGCTCCAGGTGGGCTGACCACTTCCAGAGCCTCTCCAAATTTCAGCAGTCATGCCTTACCCCTAGGCCACGTCTGGTCCTGGAACATGGATTATGCGCAAGGTGGAGCGTAAACACGTCAACCAGCCACCATTCCTGATGTCCTCAAAGCGGATTGACACAAAGTCTTACCAGCTGCTTTTGGGAGGCTGGGTGAGTGGGTCTGCTCAGGGGTACACAGTCTGTGGAGACAGACTGCTCCAAACCCTTCTTATCCCTGGGCTGAGCCTGGATCCCAAGGAACCTGACACCCATACCCATTGTCTTATTTCTCTCCTGGGAAGCAAGTTCTTCCTAACCCATTTTCAGCCTACCCCTTAGAACTTGTCCTCCATGGAAGCTGGGTTGCTGTCCTGCCTTTATCTTGCTCATGGTACATGACTTTGGACAAGTTCTGTCTCCTCTCTGGACTTCTCTGTAGACAGGGATGGGTTCTAGATGGGAGATAGAGTAGGGAGCAGTCTGAAACGAGAGGAGACGACTTGAGAGCCAGTCTCCAAGCCAGATCTTCAGCTTGCTAATGTGCTACTGCAGAACCCTGTTGGCGTGGGCCGCTACCTCAACACCTGGTTGATGGAGACAAAGGACAGACGGCAGCGATACCGATCTCTGTACCTGGGTGAATCTAAGCGTTACCCATCAGACCCAGCCTGGGACATGCTCTTACAGTGAGTATACCTCAATCTCAGGGGAGGTGGGGTGGAGGGTTTCACATGCTTGGTTCACATGGGCATACAGTTGTGCCCCTAATGTTGGCTGAACAGCAGAGGCCGAACAGCAGACCTCAGCTCACCCCCTGGCTGGCTGTGCAAGTGGGGCACAGTGATTCACCTCTCTGAGCCTTGTTTCCCTCATGAGAAGACGATTGAGGAGACGATTTAGGCAAATAAGATGATCTGCCTAAAACTCCTGATAAGGAAAAGGTACTGCGTCAGCCCTAACTCCTCCACCCACCACCCACAGGGTGTAGGCTCTGCCCTAGGTAAACCTGTTTCTTGGTATGCAAAACTCATTTTGGGAAATTATGAAATCTAAGAAAGAAAATGTACATGAAATACTGCTGCTAACTGTACAACAGTTGGCACATGTTAGCTGCTACTTTCTTTTATTGACCTAGCCCCCAAACCAACCCTATTGCTCCATAAATTGTCACAAAGAGGACTCTTCAAGGTACCATAGTATTCCATTGTGTGTATGTACCACAGTTTGTTTATCCATTCTTCTGTTGATGGGCACTTAGACTGTCTCCATCTTTTTGCTATTATACATAGTGCTGCTATGGACATTGGTGTGCATATATCTACTCATGTTATGGCTCGTATTTCTTGTGGGTAAATACCAAGTAGAGGAATTGCTGAATCTCTGGTAGCTTAGTGGTTACGAATCGGGCTGCGAATTTTGAAACTACCAGCTGTTCTGTGGGAAAAAGATGAGATGTTCTTCTCCCATAAAGACTCACAACCTCAGAAACCATGTACAGGGTCGATATGAGTTGGAACCGACTCCACAACACACAGCCACCACCAAGGTATTTCTATTTCCAACCTTCTGAAAAAGCGCCATATTGCTTTCCAGAGATATTGAACCATTTTGCAATCCCACCAGCAATGCAGGAGTGTCCCAGTCTCTCCATATCCTTGCCAGCATATTGTCCTTTACTTTTTTGATCTTTGTGTTATTGTTGGTGTGAGATGCTATCTCATTGTTGTTTTGATTTGCATCTCTCTAATGGCTAGTTATCATGAACATTTCTTCATATGATTGTTGGCTGCCTGGATCTCCTCCTTGGTGAAGTGTCTGTTCATGACCTGTGCCCATTTTTTAATTGGATTATTTGTATTTTTCTTGTAGAGGTGTTGTAGTTTCCTATATATTTTAGAATTGAGTCCCTTGTCTGATGTGTCTTGCAAAAGATTTTTTCCCATTCTGCGGGTTCCCTTTTTACTCTTCTGGTGAAGTCTTTTGATGCACATAAGTTTTTAATTTTTACTATGTCCCACTCATCTATTTTGTCTACTTTTGTTTGTGTAGTTTTCAAAATGTTTGGAACTCCATGTATGCCCTGAAAGAGAGCCCTCACATTTGTCCCTATATTTTCAATGATGGCCTTCATAATTCTGGGATTCACATTTAGGTCTTTAATGTATGCTGAATTAGTTTTTGTATAAGGTGTGAGGTAAAGGTCTTATTTCAATCTTTTGCATATCGCTTTCCAGTTCTGCCAGTACCATCTGTTGAAGAGACTATCACCTCCCCATGCAATGTATTTAGGCACTTTGTCGAAAATCAGGTGGTTGTATGTGGATGAGTTAATTTCTGTATTCTCAATTCTGTTCCATTGATCAATGTATCTTTCACTGTACCAGTACCAAACTGTTTTGACCACTGTTGTTGCGAAGTGCTGTTGAGTCGATTCCAACCCATAGCGACCCTGTATGGGGTCCGAGGAGCAGCTGGTGAGTTTGAACCGCCGACCTTGCAGTTCAAATGACTTTGCAGTCTGGTACATTAACCCACAGCACCACATCATTGACCATTGTAGCCATGTAATAAAATTTGAAATCGGGAGTGAGATGTTTCCAACATTATCCTTCTTCTTAAGCAGTGCTTTGTTTATCCTGGGTCTCTTTCCTTTCCATGTATAGTTTGTAATTGCTTTTTCTATCTCTTGGAAGAATGTCTTTGGAATCTGCATTTGGATTGCCTTATATGTGTAAATTGCTTTGGGCAGTATTGACATTTTCACAATGTTAAGTCTTCCTATCCAGGATCATGGTACATTCTTCCATTTTTGTATGTCTCTTTTGGTTTCTTGTAGTAGTGTTTTGTAGTTTTCTTTGTATAGTTCCTTTGTCTCTTTGGTTACATTTTTCCTAGATATTTCATCCGTTGGGCAGGCACTGTAAATGGTATTGCTTTCCTAATGTCCTTTTCAATGCTGTCATTGTTGGTATAGAGGAATCCAACTGATTTTTGTATGTTGATCTT